GACGATTGGTGCAGAGAAACCATCGGAAGAAGGGGAAGATCGTAAGAGGAATCCATGGATGTGTATCTCCTCGATGCTCTGCATCTACTTACCGTTCCAGATTCTCATGGTATCTTTCTTCTCCCTTATAGACTACACTCGATTTCGATTTTATGAACCGAAATTGGATCTGTTGCGAGATTGGGTTTGGGTTTGAAATGTGTGTAAAGCGTTTAATCCTACATGTATTGGATTGGATGGATCTAGAACATTGAGTTTGATCAATCACCTTCGGTTCTTTGTGGAAATTAAAATCTCGGAATCAATTTAATTAAAATCGATCTCTGTTCGTGACTGTGTAGTTTCTGAAAACTGGGATTTGAGTTTTTTTTCTTCATATATATTTTTCGCTTTGGATCATCAAAAAAAGTTGAATCCAGATGATACGACGAGGTAGAATTTGAAAACCGATTGTTACAATTTCGAATCAGGTTTCTTAGATTCCCGAGTGTATTTTCTCTGCTAAATCAGGTTTGACAAAGATATATGGACATGCATTTCAAGGTTTTTGGATGGTAAATCACTGGCGACGCTTGGAGCCACAAACAAATGGTTCAACAAAATCGTAATGGAGGACTCTGTTTGGAGGTTTGCCTGCTTGCGTGATCTTCAGGTCCCTGAGACGTCTCCATCTCCAGTTTCTTCCAGCTGGATTAAGCTATATGCTTCAGCTTTTGGTAAGTCGACCATACACATCACATCAAAAACGAAGAAGATAAAATTCATAGCCATTTCCGACAATGGGGGAAACTAAGAAACGATATCAACACTGCAGATGGGAGTCACTCTTACTTGTTCCGTCAGCACGAAAAGCATATTGGTCAGTCCCCTGAATTGAATTCATCATTTACACACTCTCTTAGTTTGGTAAACTGGAAAAAAGGCATAATATGGATATTCTCTAGCTATAGAATTGATATGTATGATTCTAGTTTAGATGTTTGACATTGAACTAGTACATTTTCTGATCTCAGTCTCAGTTGTTCTGGTTTTGACACTGGTTTTATAGATTGGACTCGGATTGGTGCTTTTACTCTGGACTCTCCAATGTCACTCTTGACTGAGCGTTTGAGTGGTCAACCGAAAGTTCCAAGGGAAGGAACCATTGAAGGGATGCTGAAATCCAGTGGTTCATGTATTATTAAAAACATCAAAAGTGGTATTTGGATTGCAGGTAACAAAAGTTTCTTATTCATCATCTTCAGCAACTTTTGTTCTATTGTAACAATGGCTTTATGATTTTACAGATTTGCAGATTGTTCGTTGCCTTGCTTGTGACCTCAGTCCCTGTCATGGTAAAACATGCATATAGAAACTCGAAACTGTGTCTGAAACATTAGGATTGATGCAAGTCTATTAGTCTCTGCAGTAACTAGATTGCAACTAAGTGTGCTTTTTTTTTGTTTATTGTGTAGGAACAATGCTAACACTTGATGCTAGGCACATTGAACTCTTCCTTAACGACGGCTATAAAGATGGAAGCTGGGATTACAATCTTATTGGGTCTCATAAGTTGCAGAACGATGAAAAAGCAACTTGTGGAGCCATATTTGATCTCAAGCACCTTAAAGCATCTTCATCCTCAGGTAATTTCAAGCTCAATCACACTCTTCTGCTCATTTTCTCCTCTCTGCCTCTAGTGAAATGAAAAACTTTATAGGTATTCTCCATCTCGAGTCTTGGAC